TCAGAAGAGTACTTTGCCTCATTTTCCTTTCTATAAACCCCCAGATTTCCTCATATCTTTAACATGCTAGCATCATGGCATCCTGGGGTGTAACCTCACAGTGCACCTCATCTTCCCCTAGCAGCTTCATGATTTTGAAGAGCAAGGTGTGGTTTCTATTGAGTCTTTACCTTCCCTAACTGGAGTTTCTCCCTCCTCTGCTTCATCATGCCCAGAGCCACCCCCAGGTGGTACATGTGGCAAACTGGAGGTTGGGGCACCCCCTATAGCACTGTCCTGTGGTACACCAGCATCTCCCACTGTAAGTGGAAACAGAAATGGCAGCATCTCAGGTGAGGGAGGCAAGGCTCTGCTCCAGAGGAGGGAGAATGCTCAGAAGAATAGGAAGTCCAGGCGCCCCTCAGGGTGATGGCATCATGACAGTTACAGAGAAAATTCCTCTGAATTGGAACATTCCATTCTGGAAGGTAACTCATTAAGACCCAAAAAGTCCTAAAGGGAGGCTTGCTAAGAATGGAGAAATAAACAACTCAAAAGTCTCAGGGAGTTCCAGAAACTTAGAAGGCCCCACTCTTCCTAAGATTATATAAGCAGGGAAAATTGCTGAGAAGGCTTAGACCAGCCTAACTTAATGCCTAGAGAAGATTCTCCAACCCATCAAGCTGCCTGTTGGCCATGTAGAGATCTCCAGGATCCTGGGTCTTACAAGTTGACACTCATGCTTGGGTGGGTTTTAGAGGATGATGTTGCCTTTGTGTTCCTGAAAGCATCCCCCTCACCATACTCCTGTAAGTAACCTCAGCAAACTCATTGGTTCAAGTTGAACTTTGCCGCTATCCTTATTTTGGTCTGTGTTACTTCCTGATCTGTGGTGAGCACAGAAACGCTTGTCTTCTCAGGATAGCAAGGGCCACAGGACAGACAGGCCTGCTGACGGAGACATTATCAGTTCCTTTTCCCCAAACACCCTCCCTTCCTCTTTTGACAATGTAGCTAAGCCTTTGATGAAAATATGCCTGAGATTAAGGTGCTGACAGTTTTCTCTCGAGATTTCTTGGCTCCTGAATGGCCGCCTTTCCCTCTGTGTCTTCACAATGCTCTCTTCCTATAGGGACACCTATAGTCATGATGGATTTGGGCCCACCCTGTTGACCCCTCTTCAAACTGACTTAGACAAAAAGACTATCTACTAATATGGTCACCTTCTGAGCCACTGGGAGTTACAAACTCACATTTGAGGAGAACATAGTCATCATAACCCATAATCCTATAACCTCCTACTCTACCCCGGAAGTTGGTGACATGATGCTCTCTCTTGGCCTCCAGGGTTTGCCAGGCCCCAAAGACTTCCCCTGCTATACTGTGGGCTGGGATCTTGGCAGGTGGAATCCTGGGTATCTATATGAGTGACAACTAAGAGGTAGCCCTGCCCAACTGAGCCACTGTTTCTTGAGACTGGGCTGATGACCAGGTAACTGGGCACTACCAAAGACGCCAGTGCACACTGAGGTGGGTGGATGCTGAGTACTTTGCATGGTCCCAGACAGTTAAGCACCAATGGCAATCTCAGAGCCTCTGCTCTGAGGGCCATCTCTGTAACTCCCTGTTCGATCCTCACCTCTGGCAGATATTCAGCAAACACTTCACACTACTTTCTTGCCTGGCACACAACACTCTTTATGGGATAGGATTGACGCTTCTCCTTCTAAACAAATTAAAATGTCCTTAATTCCCTAAGACCCAAACTCACAGGCCTGCCTATAGCAGGTGCCCCCTGAACACACAGTGGGCTGGGTTCTGGGAGAATCAGCTTGACTAGAATCCTTTGAAAGATGGGGCTTCTGAGCATAGACGTGGGGGATTACTTTGATTAAGTTCACTGAGGGGAAAGACACACCCATTTCGGGAGCCACCATTCCCTGGAATCTTGAACTAGGATTGGGGAAAGTGAGCCAAGCACAGCATGTGTGCATTTATCCCTCTCTGCTTCTGGCTGCAGATGTGATGTGACCAGCTGCTTCCGGCTCCTGCTGCTTTGACCTCCCCCTGCCAGGATGGACTGCATAATAAGAAAAAAAATCTTTCTCCTGTAAGTTGTTTTTGCCAGAGAACTTATCCCAGCATCAGGAAAGAAGACTAAGCAGTGGCCAAGAAGATTCTAAGCCCATGAGTTACATTCAATTTACATAGCAGAATGGAGGCAAATCCTGAAGAAGAGTGTGACGCCAGAGATATAGAACTACAACCACACTCCACAGCCACTCTTCTGTCTCCACACACACCAGCTCAAGGGACAGCCTTTCCCAGAACCCCATCTGGAGCAATGAAGAGTCCACACCTTTCTGCAAGAAGCTATTTTTTTCTGGTTGTTTCTGCTTCATTAGCATTGGGAAAAATGACACAATATTGTTCAGGGAACAAAGGACATTGGCGTGAGGACAGTGGGGAGAGAGGGAGAGAAAGATGGCTGGACAGTGGCTACATCAGAAGTAGCTGTGTGCTGTGGAGCCAGCAGAGGCCCTGGGAACAGGCGCTGCCCTTGCTGGATTCCTCTGCTCATAGACACACGTGGGCTCAGGCAGGGTCTTTGTAGCAGCTCACAGAATAACAGGAATTGCCTTGGTTGGGGAGGGAGGTGTTGAATCTCCCCCAAGAAGCTTCTTTTCTGCCTCTTCCTTATCCTAAAAATAAAACAGAGGGAAGAAGTCAATGAATAGAAGAAAAGCATGAAGTTTAGCTTCATTGATGGATGGTGAAAAACATGAGGACAAGGTTAGTATCAGCACTTGAAAGCAGCAGAGGAAAGGAGGGGCAGGAAACAACAGAGGGAAGTACGTGCAGCAAGAAGGACCAGGAGGCAGAGTCAGGGGAGCGAGATATGAACGTGGAGAGAGTGGGAAACAAGGGCAAAGCAAGGCATGGAGAGGCAGAAGTCAGACAGGACATGAGGGAGGGTCACTGTCCCCAGATAGTGAAGGACGAGTGAGGACCAGGGACTTCTGAGATGGGTGCTCATCTCTGTTTTCAATGCCCAGACCCCTGCTGTCCAGCAAGCCTCTTCCTGAGCACTCACCAGGGCCCGGGAGCTCCGGCCACACATACTTTGGAGACTCAGTCCCAGGGAAGCCAAAGCCATGACGATCTTCAGGATACAGACAACTGTGAGCATGATGTAAAATGCTAGGAACAAGTTCTGGAGGCAAAGGAGGAAGAGACCCAGTCAAGAGTCAGCTCCTCTGATTCACATGGCCACACTCAGTCCAGACCCTGTCTGCCACCAAGGCAGGTGGTGTCTGCTGGAGATGATATAGCCACCACTTCTCACCCACTTGCTTGACTGGTGAAAATGGCATTCATGCCAAAGATGGCTCTTCACTGACTCTGTAGCTTTTATTCCTGCCTCTTGACAACCTTACCGTAACTCCCTACCTAAGACCTGATTGCTATACTGAGAAGACAGAGGCACATGAAGAAGCTGCTATAGGCTCTCAGCCCTGAAAGCCCAGCGAGCTCCCAGCCAAGAGCCACACCATCTGCCAGCTGGGTACACGCGTGCCTAGGTGTGAATGCCCAGCTCCAGTGAGGCCTTGAATGACCACACCCACTGTCTCTGCCTGCAGCTACATAGGAAAACCCAAGGGTGAACAGTCTGTCCAAACCCAGCCAAGCCCAGAGAAGTGTGAGAATTATGAGTAAGGGGTGTTAAAGCCACAGTATTTGGGAGTGACTTCTTATACATCAGTAAGTAGATAACCAGAATGACCACTCATTAGAGAAGTCAGAGGGGTGACCTACTGTCTGTTCCCCTACCACCTCCGATTCGGGGAATCGTTATGTACGAAGGTCTGAAAATGCCTTCAGCTTGAACGACAGCTTCCTAACCAAAGGACTAGGGTGAGGACCAAGCTCACAGAGCCTTCATCCCTGCCAGGGCTCCAAACCCTAAGAGCTAGGGTGGTGCTGTGTCCCAGGAAAACAGTTCCTCCGTTCTCACCATCATCATGCTCAGGTACTCTCGGCACCTCTCTCTCCTCCAGCTCGTGTTGTCAGAGAATGGCACTAGCCCATCCCCACTGTCCGTGCTCGTCTGTACGGGGTCACACGTGGAACTGATCCTGTAACGGCAGGCACCGCTCGTTTGCCAGGTTAAGCTGTTCACACTCAGGACCGTCGCAGCCACAGCTGTCGCAGTGCAAGCCAGGATAAGCAGGCAGGATATGTGGCCCTGGAGGAGAGAGGGTCAGAAGGAGATTCCGCTGCCAGTGGCAGAGTCATGAATTGCAGCCTCAGGGGTACCCATCTTCCCCTGCTGCTATGACAGGAAGTCCCTCCTCCTGTCGCTATGACAGGAAGCCCTTCCCAACCCCCCAGGAAAGACTCGTTTTATTGGCAATTAGGGACAAGCGGTAGAATAGGGCTAAAATGTTCACCATTGACTATGGAGGGTGAAGATGGGCGGGGTTGATAAAGAAGAAACCCAAGACTCACAGTTAGTTTTCCACGTTGCTTTTCGTTGACAATGATACCAGTTCCGGCTACAACTGCCTGGAAAGAGAAGACACCAGAAAATAAAAATAAAAAATAAATAAATAAATAAATAAATAAATAAATAAATAAAAAAAATGGTCTCTAGTTTACTCTCCTGGCTAGGTTTTCCATTGCCCTTCCACCAACAACTCCCAGGACAGCTCAATTGAAGCAGGGTTCATTGACAAGCAAGCCAAAACAGGACATGGGCAGACACTTATCACCAATGTCCTGCCTTTAAAACAAAACCAAAAAAAACAAAAAACTAGGCTTCAGAAGGTTTCCTCCAGTCCTAAGGCAACTGTTTCCTATTTGCCTCCACTGAACTCCTTGGCAACTCCATACTTACCACAGACCCTGACCAGAAGGCATATCCAAAGGTATGCGGCTCAGTCTCAGGCCCAAAGTAGATACACACTCCGAGAACACAGCTCACAAGCCCCAGCAATATCTGGGTCACCTGCAAGACAGAAGGGAAAAAAAATCAACTCCCTTCACACCCCAGTGATAACTGTACAGCTCCAAGCCAGGGGTGGGCTAAACCTCTGCTTTGGCCTCCCTGCAGCTCTGATTCTGGAAGGTTCTGTGCTAACATCCATTGAGCCACAATGGTCAGCTTTTTTCTGCCTCCCCCTCAGGCTCTTTCATCACCTTTTCCTAACACCAGCACTTTATGCCAGTTCTTCCCATTTCCATCCCGTTCTCCCTCAGGCCTATCATCCCAACAAATCCTGCTCCCGACCTCAGCATCTCACTCGACCCTAATGCCTCATTTACAAACATGACGTGGACGGCTCTGTGGCACACAGATGTGGGAATGAAGACTGGAAATGAGCATAAAGAGAAAGACATGAGCCCTCGGATGCAATCCCCAGGGCCAGATAAGACTGGATGGGGCAATCCATACCTATAAGTAGAGGCAGAAAGTTCAGAAGTTCAAAACCATCCTTGACTACATAGCTAATTTGAGGTCATCCTAGACTACATGAGACCCTGTCTCAGAAAAATAAAAAAGATGTACCAGTGAGACCACATTTTGGAAAGAGGTATGATCCGGTCAGAATGGGCAAATGACACACCTACCAGCAGAACTGCATTCCCACCTGGATTCGGACCCCTCAACCAGTCCCCAAATTCAGCCTTCCCAGATAGTCCCCAGTCCCACAACCCCAGAAGACTTCCACCAACCAGACCCAGGCCACACCAGCCAGAACAGGTGAGTGACCTGCCTAGCAACAGAACTGTACCCCTCCTTGGACTCAGTCTGTAGAGACCCTGCTCCAGGCTAATGCCATCCCAGTTCATCCCTGCTGCTGCTGCTGAGTCCTCAATCCCCACCCCAGTGGGCTTCCACCACTGAGGCACAGACCACACCAGCCAATGCAGGTCCAAGTCACACAAGCCAGAACAAAACTTCAGGGTACTCCATATACCCAGACAGAGTCTCCACCAGTTGGAAGAATAGATGCCATAGGCCCACATACCATCTGCCCTATCTGAAAGAACAGCCCAGAAGCTCTATCAGAAGTCAGGCAGGTACCCTAGGTACCCCAGAAGAAAACACAGGCTCTACTTGAGATCAGGCAAGATCCAGAGATCTAAGAAGACTTCTATAGGAGGCCAGATCAGAATAAGGGACTCAAGGACCCCAAAATCCCAGTGAAAACATCCTACTGGACCCGAAGACTCATCAGTCACCAGAATCCTTGGTACAAGGAGCAAGGAACAAAACACCCATCCAACAAAGACAAACACAGGAATCAATACCTACACCTATAATCACTCCAAATCCAGATGCCTAAATGCCAGTGTAAGAACGGAATCAATAGCAGAAAAGGCAACATGGCACCACCAAAGCCCAGCTATCCAATGACAGTAAGACCTAAACAATCCAACACAGATGAAACACAAGAAAATGACCTTAAAAAATACCTTTATGGGGGAAATAGAGGTTCTTTAAAGAGGAACTGAGAAAAACCCTCAAAGAAATGGAAGGAAAGATAACCAAGGAAATGAATAAATATCTTAAAGAATGCCAAGAAAACCAAGAAAAAGCAAACAGCTGGCAGAAACAAAACTGTTCAAAATCTAAAAATGGAAATAGAATTTAAAAAAAACACAAACTGGAAAACTTGGGTAAGCAAACAGGAACTACAGATGCAAGCATCACCAACAAAATACAAGAGATGGAAGAGAGAACCTCAGGCATTGAAGGTGCCATAGAGAAAATAAATTCATTGGTCAAATGTTAAATCTAAAACTTCCTAACACAAAGCACACAGAACAGCCGAGCGTTGGTGAAGCACGCCTTTAATCCCAGCGCTCGGGAGACAGAGGCAGGTGGACCTTTGTGAGTTCGAGGCCAGCCTAGTCTACAAGAGCTAGTTCCAGGACAGGCTCTAAAGTTACACAGAGAAACCCTGTCTCGAAAAAACAAACAAACCAACCAAAACTAAAGCACCCAGGAAACCTGGAACACCATGAAAGACCAAAGCAAAGAACAATAGGAATAGAAGGGGAGAAATTGCTGCTCAAAGACCCAGAAAATATTTTCAACAAACTCATAGAAGAAAATTTTCCCAACCTAAAGAAGGACATATCTATAAAAAAAATATAAGAAGCTTACAGAACACCACATAGAATGGACCAGAAAAAAAAGTCCCCTCACCATATAACAATCAAAACACTAAACATACAGAAAGAGAAAGACTAAGGAAAAAGGCCAAGTAACAAATAATGGTAGACCAATCATGGAGAAAGACCAATCTTTCTCTATGAAGACTCCCAATGCCACACCTGAACAGATCCCTTGCAGACTTTGCTGTAGAATATTATTTTAAGATGTGTTACCCTTGTTTATGCTGTGAAATATTTGCTTAATGATGCAAAAATATGTTGCATTCCTCTATGTTGCATTTGTTTAGCTCTGTGAATCTTGTTACTTTGCCTGTCTAAAACATCTGATTGGTCTAAGAAAGAATTGAATGGCCAGTAGTAAGACAGGAGAAAGGATAGGTGGGGCTGACAGGCAGAGAGAATAAATAGAAGGAGAAAAAAAAAGAAAGGAAAAGAGAACAAGGAGCAAGAAAAAAAGGGACCAGCCACCCAGCCAGCCACGGAGTAAGAGTGAAAGGAAGATTACAGAAGTAAGAAATGTAAAAAGCTCAGAGGCAAAAGGTAGGGGGTAATATAAGATCAAGAAAAGCTGGCAAGTCTTCGGAGTGGTAGAGCAAGGTCATGAAGGAAGAGGATTGTGGTGGTGCGGCCATTATCTCCGCTCTGTCCACCCCTGCGCCCCTCGCTGAGCTTCCCGCCGCACCATGTTGGGCCAAAGTGTCCGGAGGTTCATGACCTCCGTGGTCCGTTGCAGCCACTACGAGGAGGGCCCGGGAAAGAATTTGCCATTTTCCGTGGAAAACAAGTGGTGGTTACTGGCGATGATGACTGTGTACTTTGGATCTGGATTTGCTGCTCCTTTCTTCATAGTGAGGCACCAGCTTATTAAGAAATGAGAGTATTTAATTCAACCCTTTAACAGAATGAAGATTGTTTAGTAGAGTGATCTGAAAACTGGATTAAACTCTTGAACTCTTATTACTAAATAAAATTGTAAATAAATATATGACGTAAAAAAAAAAGAAAAGAAAAGCTGGCAAGAAATAAGTCAAGTGAAGACCAGGCATTTATAAGAAAGAATAAAACTCCATGTGTGATTTTGGGGGGAGCTAGTGGTGCCCCTCAAATAAACCACAAGTCTAAAACAACCAACTACAAGATTCTCAGAGACCATGGATGCCAACCCAGACTACTACACCCAGCAAAACTTTCAATCACCAAAGATGGAGAAAACAAGGTATTTCATAAAAATGTCAAATTTAATCAACATCTATCCACAAACCCAGCTCTACAGAAGATATTAGAAGGAAAACTCCAGCCCAAAGAATTTAGCTACACCCACAAAAACACAGGCAATAGATAATCCCACACAGGAGGGAAACATGTGCATACACACAAGCATGAAAGCAAGCACATACCACCACCACTACCACCACCAGCAACAAACAACAGGAATTAACAATCACTGGTAATTAGTATCCCTCAATATCAATCGGCTCAATTCACCAATAAAAATTGCAGGCTAACAGAATGGATACAAAAACAGAACCCATCCTTCTGTTGCATACAAGAAAAACACCTCAACATCAAAGGCAGACATTACTTCAGAGTAAAGGATTATAAAAAGATTTTACAATCAAATGGACCAAAGAAGCAAGCTAGTGTAGTAATTCAAATAGCTAACAAAATAGACTTGAAATTAGAATTAATTAAAAGAGATAGAGAAGGACATTATATATTTATCAAAGGAAAAAATCCACCAAGATGATGCCTCAAATCTAAACATCTATGCCCCAAATACAAGAGCACCTACATTTGTAAAAGAAACATTACTAAAGCTAAAATCACACATTGAACCCACTCATTAATGATGGAGGACCTCAACACCCCACTCTCACCAATGGACGGGTCATTTCAACAGAAATTAAACAGAAAATATTGGAACTCACAGATGTTATGACTCAAATGGGCCTAACAGATATCTTCAGGATGTTTCATCCAAATGCCAAAGAATATACCTTCTTCTCAGCACCTCATGGAACCTTCTCCAAAACTGACCACATACTCAGTCCCAAAGCAAGTCTTAACAAATACAAAACAGTTAAACTAGCCCCCTGTTTCCTATCAGATCAAAGATGGAGTTGAATAACAACACAAACCACAAAAGCCTATAAACTCATGGAATCAACTCTCATCTGAATTATCACTGGGTCAAGGAAGAAATAAAGAAAGAAATTGAAGACTTCCTAGAATTCAATGAAGATGAATCCACACCATACCCAAACTTATGGCACATAATGAAAGTGACGCTAAGAGGAAATGTTCTTACACTAAATGACTTCTTAAAGAATTTAGAGAAATCTCACACTAGTGACTCACACAGCACATCTGAAAGATCTAGAACAAAAAGAAGCAAACTCACCCAGGAGGAATATAATCAAACAGAGGGTAGAAATCAATAAAATAGAAACAAAGAGAAAAACACAATGAATCAATGAAACAAAGATTTGGTTCTTTGAGAAAATTAACAAGGTAGACAAACTCTTACCCAAACTAAAAGGGGCAGAAAGAACATCCAAATTAACATAATCTAACTGAAAAGGGGACATAATAGACACTGAAGAAATCCAGACAATAATTAGATCATACTTTAAAAACCTGTACTCTACAAAATTGGAAAATCTAAAAGAAATAAACAATTTTCTTGATAGATACCATATACCAAAATTAAACCAAGATCAGATAAACAATTTAAAGAGATCTAAAACCCCTAAGTAAATTGAAGCAGTAGTTAAAAGTCCCCCAGCCAAGAAAAGTCCAAGGCCAGATGGTTTTAGTGCAGAATTCTACCAGAATTTTAAAGAAAAGTTAATACCAGCACTTGTTAAACTATTCCACAACATAGAAACAGAAGGAACATTGTCAAATTCTTTTTATGAGGCCACAGTTACCCTGATACTCAAACCACACAAAGACCCAACCAATAAAGAACGAGAATTACAGACTATTTCCCCCCATGAACATGCAAAAATACTCAATAAAATACTGGCAAACTGGATCCAAGAACATAACAAAAAGGTCAACCATCATGATCAAGTGGACTTCATCCCAGAGATGCATGGATGATGGTTCAACATACAAAAATCTGTCAATATAATCCACAATACAAACAAACTGAAAGGAAAAAAAAACACATGATTATCTCATTAGATGCTGAAAAGGCCTGTGACAAAATCCAACAGTCCTTCATGGTAAAAGTCTTAGAGAGATCATGGATACAAGGAACATACCTAAATATAATCAACAACAAGTTGAGAGTCAACATCAAATTAAATGGAGAGAAACTCAAAGAAATTCCACTAAAATCAGCAACAGGACAAGGCTGCCAACTCTCTCTATATCTATTCAATGTAGCACTCAAAGTTCTAGTTAGAGCAATAAGACAACAGAAGGAAATCAAGGGATACAAATTGGAAAAGAAGAAGTCGAAGTATCACTATTTGCAGCTGACATGATAGTGTACATAAGCAACCCAAAAATTCTACCAGGAACTTCTACAGCTGATAAATACTTTTATTGAAGTAGCTAAATACAGGATTAACTGAAAAAAAAAGCAGTAGCCCTCTTATATACAAATGATAAAACAGCCAAGAAAAAAGATCAGGAAAACAACACCCTTCAGAGTAGCCATAAATAATATAAAATATCTTGGGGTAACTCTGACCAAGCAAGTGAAAGACTTGTATGACAAGAACTTCAAATCTTTGAAGAAAGAAATTGGAGAAGATTTCAAAAAATGGAAATATCCATCATGCTCATGGATTGGTAGGATTAACATAGTAAAAATGGCCATTTTACCAAAAGCAATCTACAGATTCAATGCAATTCCCATAAAAATTTCAACACAATTTTTTACAGATCTTGAAAGAACAATATTCAACTTTATATGGAAAAATAAAAATTCATGATTGCTAAAACTGTCCTCTACAACAAAAGAACTGAGAGGTATCATCATCTCTGATCTCAAACTCAACTAAAAAGCAATATAATAATATTTAAAAATAGTGATTTTTTTAAAAAGCATGTAATTAGCATAAAAAAGACAGATGGATCAATGGAATCAAATAGAAGACCCAGACACAAATCTACACACTTATGGACACTTAATTTTTCGATTAAAAAAAGCCAAAACTATAAAATGGAGAAAAGAAAGCATCTTCAACAAATGTTGCTGGCACAACTGAATGTTGTCATGTAGAAGAATGCAAATAGATCCATATCTATCATCTTTACAAAACTCAAGTCCAAGTGGATCAAAGATTTAAACATAAGTCCAGTTACACTGAACCTAAGAGAAAAGAAAGTGGGGATAGCCTTGAATACCTTTGAACAGGAGGCAGCTTCCTGAATAGAACACCAATACCACAGACCCTAAGATTAACAATTAAGAACTGGGACCTCATGAAACTGAAAAGTTTCTGTAAGGCAAAGGACACTGTCAATAAGACAAAACAGCAGCCTAGAGAATGTAAAAAAAAAAATCTTCACAAACCCCCCATCTGACAGAGGGCTGATCTCTAAAATATATAAAGAACTCTAGAAACTAGACATCAAAAACCTAAACAACCCAATTTTAAAATGAGATGCTGACTTGAACAGATTGAAACAGGAGACTGCTTCTTAAATAGAACCCCAGCAGCACAGACACTGAGAGAAACAATTAATAAATGAGACCTCCTGAAACTGAAAAGCTTCTATAAAGCAAAGGACATGATCAACAAGACAAAATGACAGCCTACAGAATGGGAAAAGATCTTTACTAACCCCATATTAGACAGAGATCTGATCTCCAAAATATATAAAGAGCTCAATAAGTTGGTCATCAAAACAACAAATAATCCAAAAAAAAAATGGAGTACAGACCTAAACAGAGAACTCTCAACAAAGGAATCTTAAATGGCTGAAAGATACTTAAGGAAATGTTCAACATCCTTAGCCATCAGAGAAATACAAATCAAAACAACTCTGAGATTCCATCTTACACCTGTAAGAATGGCCAAGATCAAAAACAGACAACTTATGCTGCATTGCTGGTGGGAGTGCAAGCTGGTACAGCCCCTTTGGATATCAGTATAGCAATTTCTCAGAAAATTAGAAAAAACCTTTTTTAAGACCCAGCAATACCACTTTTGGGCATATATCTCCAAGGGATGCTCAATCATACCACAAGGACATGTGCTCAACTATGTTCACAGCAGCATTGTTTGTCATAGCCAGAACCTGGAAACAACCTAAATGCCCCTCAACCAAAGAATGGATAAGGAAAATGTGGTGCATTTACACAATAGAGTACTACCCAATAGAAAAAATGGCATCTTGAAATTTTCAGGCAAATGGATGGAGCTAGAAAACATCATTTTGAGTGAGGTAACCCAGACACAGAAAGACAATTATCACATGTACTCACACATAGGTGGTTTTTAAACATAAAGCAAAGAAAATCAGCCTACAAATCACAATTCCAGAGAACCTAGACAACAATGAGGACCCTAAGAGAGACATACATGGATCTAATCTACATGGGAAGTAGAAAAAGACAAGATCTCCTGAGTAAATTGGGAGCATGGGGACCATGGGGACCATGGGAGAGGGTTGAAGGGGAGGGAAGAAGGTAGGGAGTAGAGAAAAATGTATAGCTCAATAAAATCAATAAAGAGAGGTCCATACTAAAAATAAAAATAAAAATGAAGTACTGACCTAAACAGAGAATTTTCAACAGAAGAATCTCAAATGGCAGAGAAATTTTTTAAAGATATGTTTATCATCCTTAGCCATCAGGAAAATACAAATCAAAACAACTCTGAGACTCCATCTTACACCTATCAGAATGGCTAAGAATAAAAATACAAATGACAGCTTATGCTGGAGAGGATGTGGAACAAGGAGAAGACTCCTCCATTGCTGCTGGGAGCATAAACTTGTACAGTCACTTTGGCAATCAATATGTCTCAGAAGATTGGGAACCAATCTACCTCCAGAACCAGCAATACCACTCTTCAGCATATCCCCAAAATATGCTCAAACATACCACAAGGACGTTTGCTCAACTATGTTCATAGCAGTTTTGTTTGTTAATAGCCAGAACTGTAGTCGAAGACTGTTCTTTTGTTTCACAGCCATTTTGACCCGAATAATCACACAGAAACTATATTAATTACAACACTGTTGGGATTATTAGCTCAGATTTTTTATTAACTAACTCTTACATCTTAAATTAACCCATTTCTATTAATCTGTGTATTGTCACGAGGCTGTGGCTTACTAGAAAGGTTCCAGCAGCAGCATCTTTCTCCTTCAGCGGCTACATGGCATCTCCTTGACTCCGCCTACTCCCTCTCTATATCTCTGTTAAGATTTCCTGCCTGGCTTTGCTCTGCTAAGCCATTAGCCAAAACAGCTTTATTCACTAACCAATGGCAATAAAATAGTCACAGCATATGGAGGGGAATCCCACATTACAGAACCTGGAAACAACCTAGATACCCCTCAACCAAAGAATGGATAAATAAAATGTGATACATTTAAACAATGGAGTATTCCTCAGCTGTTAAAAATAAAGACATCAGGAAATTTGACGGCAAATGGAGAGAACAAAAAAAAAAATCATCCTGAGTGAGGTAGCCCAGACCCACAAAGACAAACATGGTATGTACTCACTCATAAATAGATCGTAACTTAAAGTAAAGAATAACCAAGCTACCATCCACAGGCTCAGAGAGGTTGGGTAACAAGGATAATCTCCTTGGGAAGGAGAAATAGAGATCTCTTGGTTGAACTTGGGTTGGGTGGGCATGGGAATTTAAGGGACTGGGTTGGGAGGTGGGTGGAGGGGAACAGTGCTGAGAGACACAACAGGAAAGGGGGGCTTTATGGGGAAGTCTTATGAAAGAGAAACTTCCATGAGTCTACAAGGATGGCCCCAGCGAAGACTCCTGGCAGCAGTGGATGTACAGCCTAAACTGGCCATCCCTGTGATCACATTGATGGCTGCCCCAGAGAGCATTCATCCAGTGACTGATGGAGGTAGATTCAGAGACCCACAGCCAAGACCTTTCTGAGCAATTATAGAGAAAGGGTGGACGGGGTGGGGGGGGCGAGGGGAGGTGGAGGAGGGAGTAGGAGGAGATGAGGGAGAGGAGGCTATAGTTGGGATGTAAAATTAATTAATTAATTAAAAATATGTATGGTTTTGAAATAACACCAAAAAAGAAAGGGAGGGAGGGAGGGAGGGAGGGAGGAAGGTAGGAAGGAAGGAAGGAAGGAAGGAAGGAAGGAAGGAAGGAAGGAAGGCAGGCAGGCAGGCAGGCAGGCAGGCAGGCAGGCTACAGAGAGCCTGTAATGAGGGACATGCCCCAGTCTTTCAAGCTGAAATTCTTTAAGGAATTATCCCAGCTAATGACTAAGCAAGGTGGCGTGTGAAGGACCATTTCCTTGTACTGTGGAGCTTTCCCAACAGGCTGTACCACTGTGTGATGATCCCTGCTGTCTAATCCCATCCTAGCCTTTTCTTCTCACCCATGTAAGCTCCAATAAACCAGAGCCAGCCCTATCCTTCTGAGTGTCTTCTTCCCAGAGAATCCAACTGCCACTGATTCCTGTGCCCCACCTTATGTCCTTCCAGCCCCTTACACTCAACTGTTATATTGTGCCAAATCCTAACTCCTATCTTCCAGGGTTCTTATCACCTCTGAACCTCCAAATGTTTCTGGCTTTATCTCTTTCTTACACCCCAAACCCATCCAAATTAGGGGGACCCTATGTAAACAATCTGGATTCCGAGCTCTCCTCACTCGAACACACAAGTGTGTTCTTGCTGCGCTCCCCCTGGCTTCGAGGCAGCCTGAGCTCAGTTGGCACTCAAAGCTCATGCACAGAAGCTGGCCCGAACTCCTGTCACTCAAGGCTAATAGCAAAATGGCTCCTTATCATCCCAGAATCTCTCTTCCCTCTTCAGTGACATCCCTTTCCCAGGGAAGTCCTTTCCTTTTCACCCTTCAGCTCCCTGACCACGCCCATCCCTGCTCCACTCAGGGCCTTGCTCAGTTCCTGGGGGTGGGGGCACTCTGTGCTTATGTCACTAGATCTAACTAGTCATGTTGAGCTCTTTTAGGTGACTCAAGGGTCCTTTCCGCCTCTCCCTGGGAGGCTGGTTCATCTTGACTTGCACCTGCAGCCTTCAGGCCCCCCGAACTCCAGGAAGCAACCAAATTCAGCCCTGAAATTCCTCTTTTGTCACCCAGCCTCTGGTTGACACAGCCCTCTCAGCCCTCCTTTCTATGAAAATCCCTGCAGAGAAATGTCCAAAATCTCTCCCCAGATATGAAGGGGCGAATGGACTCCTGCGTTCTTCCCTGAGGAGTCAAGCTGCTTTCCTTTACCCTCTGTGCCACCTCATGAACCCGCCTACCACCCAACTCTCACCCCTAGAGCCAGCAGCCCATGGTGGATGCTGGCCTTGGAGGGCCCTGTGTCCTGAGGGTGGGAGAGAGACTTCTTCACGGAGCCCATGGCTCTCAGCAGCTGCTCCAGAGCCGAGTGGTGGTGGATGTGGATGTTGACTTGAGGGGACGTGGGCAGTGCGGAGGCCACTTCAGCTCCATTCACCGTCACCGTGGTTTGAGCCATCTTTCCTGGTGGGGAAATAGACAGAAATGGATGAAGTAGGGGAGCTAGGAAAGATAAGTGGAGTGATGGGCGGATCAAGGTCAAGAAGATGCCCCAAGCGCAGATGCCAATGTCACTGTGGCCCTTGTTTGAGAGTCAAAGCACTTCTAGAGCCTTTCACCATGCGCAGTCCTGGGCTGCTTTCCCGAAGGGTTAATGGAATGTTATTGTCAGAATGCAGGGCTCCTCACACACCATTCCCTGCTTGGTCTTGGCTGGTGGTGCTGTGGGGACTGGTCGGAAGATGTCAGTCAGTCAACAGGACTGTGCCTTTGAAGAGCATCTAAGCCCCCCACCCCAAATTCACTTCCTCCTCTCCTTTCCCTCCTCCCTCTCCCCACCTCTTCCTCATTCTCCTACTTCTTTCTGACCACAATGAGGTAAGCAGCCTCTACTACAAACTCCCACTGCCCTGATATTCTTCCTTGCCTTGGGCCTCAGTTCAAAATGTCTGCCACAGTATGCCACCAAAGAAACCTATAAATTTACCTTTCTTCAAGTCGTTTCACTCGGATGTTTATCACAGTAACATAAGGCTGCCTAACACAGCTTGACTTGGGTCTAAGAGGGACGAAAAGGAGTCTGAGTTCACACACACACACATGCATGTGCATACACATGCACGCACACACAAATGCATGCACACACATATGCAATACTCATTAAAAAGTTCAAAAGAGGGCTGAGGATGTAGCTAAGTGGATAGGAAATTGCTTTATACGTATGAGGACCAGCCTTGAGATTCTAGAACCCATGAAAAAGCTGAGCAGGCGTGATGGCTTCCTGTGACCCCAGCTCTTGGGAGGTAGAGACAGGATTCCCAGGGCAAGCTGGCCCGCTAAGCTCTGCACTTAAGTGAGAGAACCCACCTCAATGAAGTGGAGATGAATGAAGGAAAACATGCAATGTCAACTTTGGGCCTCCACATGCATGATCTCACACGTGTGTGTGTGCACCTTCCCATATACATTTGTGCCCACACGCATACCAACACACATGCACACCCACACTATACAAAAGTACACAAAAGTGCAAATGATAAAAGAAAAGAATATAGTTTTAAAATCCCTCTTTTTATTTCTTCCCAGTTGCCAAGTTGCCTTCCAGATAAGAACTAACGTGGCCAGTTTCTTCAGAGCCTCCAGTGCCATGTTTTGTACACAGGGGTGTGTAAAGTAGTCCTTCTCGTCCTTCCTCACAAATGGCCACTTACCATACACGGCCCTGTGCAACATGGTGCTGATGTGCTCACATAGTTTAGGATCATCCTACATCAGTCCATCAAATGCTTCCATTTGTATGACTGCCTAATACTTCAGTGTGTGTGTGTGGTGTGTGTGTGTGCGCGCGCGCGCGTGTGCGCGTGCACGTGCGCACACACACATGTGAATATTTGGATACTCTCCTATTGATAGACACTCAGGATATTTCCAATCCCTTTGCATCATGACCAGGATGGAATAATGTATTTCTAGTGGCTGTTGTCAGTCACCCTCCATGGAAGTTGTAGCAATGACCATATATATACGAGTGCCATCCAGTTCTCCCCCTTCATGTGCTGGCAATTTCTGCTTCCTTCATTTTACATAGGAGAAATTGCATTCTCTTATATGTTTTAATTTAATACAATAAATTGTTCAATTTTTCATTGCTTTTCTAGAATTTGATGATATTTATCTCTATGAAAGCACAGCTGTAATCAAGATGTGCATTGCAAAAGTTCCCTCCAGGTGTGGTGGCACACACCTTCAATCCCAAACTCAGGAGGTAGAGGAAGTGGATTTCTGTGAGTTGGAGGATAGCCTAGTGTACATAGCAAGTTCCAGGCCAGCCAAGGATACACAATGAGATCTTACCTCAAAAAATAAAAATAAAATTTCCCCAATACTCTCCCCCCCCCCCATAAATCACCTTGTACAGGTTTTCCACACTGGTTTCTATCATTGTTTTTGGTGTTCTTTCATAATGTGCTTAGCTGTCTTTTTGTTTAAGGGCATTTTTTATTCCTTCTTTTGTAAGATCTTCATTTTCATACTTCCTGATTTTTTCATTAAAGTTCTTTGTATATTTGAAGATTTACCAACGGCAATGTGCATTCACACTCACATCCACATGGACAGGTATGAACTCGATTTAAGAAGAAACGCTGATCTCTGGATCTACGTCATAATCCCCAGGTGTGAGGCAAAGGGAGGTAGTATTAGCCTCTGAAGAACAGTTTCTACTGTGCTATGTGTCACCTTTCTCCCTCTGACTAAAAACATTGCCCTGAGTTTCCATAGGGCCTCAGGTCCACAAGGTCTTCATATTCTGCCTACTTGAATGTCCGATGGCCTCCTTACTACTGCTACCCTTCTAACCAGCACAGTTAAACATATCCTGCCTGCTTCCCGGCTCTCTCCTGTTACTGGTTCAGAAATGCCATTTCCATTTTAGCCCCTCTGGTCAATTGCTTAGATCCAAAAGAAATCTGCCCAGGAGACTCTACTAAGCAATCTGGTGAAGCATCCTTTCCGATATCGCTAACTGCTCCAGTCTTACCCGTTCACATCCATTTGTATTCGCCCCACACCTTGGAGCGCATTTCACCTGCACTTACCTGGGCACCTCGGAGGTGAAAGGATGGAGTCTGACAACTCTTTAGGAGGGAGGAGGAGGCTTTGGACTTCTTCACAGAAACACAAGTGAAGGCTCCAGGGTCTCACCTTTCCTTGAGGTTCCAGGAGTCAGGAATGAAATCTTAGCTGTGTCTGTATGCTGACGCCCTCCAGGTCCCCAACAGCACCACTACCCTGGCCACTCCAAAACCTTGTATGCTCACTGCTGCTGCCACTACTCCAGTGACTCCCTGATATTCCTCCTCCCAGTGCCCAGGAATAGAGAAAAGAAACACCATGTCTTCACTCCACAGCGGTCCCACCTCTGCTTAGCCTCAAGGCTTCACTCTCTCAGAGTGCAGGGGTGAGGCTGTGGTAATTGTGGAAGGCAAAGCCAGGCCCTGAGCCTCCCTACCCCACCCCCCCACCCCTAGCCTCAGCTGTTTCCAGAGTCACAAGCTCTGTCTGACATCTCCCTCCCTCCCTGGACTCCCACAGGAAAGGAGCCAAGAAAGGAGAAGCAGCATCCTGGGCTCGGGTGGAGACTAAAGAGTTGTCTTGGAGACTCCTCCAGAGAAGGGTCTCTGTGCTCCGAGAGGGGCTACCCTGGGGCTGTGAAGGGCCCTGACTCACCTGCTATCCTCTGAGAGAGGTGGGGCTGGAGCAGAGAGGTCTGGGAGGAGCTGACTTGGAGCTAATGACCCCACACAGTAGAGGAGCTGGGGGAGAGCAGGAAGAAGGCATGGAGGGATGGGGGCCTGACCAGAGTCTCTTGGTTTCCCAGCAAGTAGCTAACATGAAGGGGCCCCACTTGGGG